CCCGGCTCTGATTTCTTCTCCCGAGCGAGCTCCGCAGGAGACACAGGCGCTGGCTGCCCCGTCCGCTCTCCGCCTCCGCCGCGCCCTCCTCGCCGGGGATGGGCCCCCCCGCCGCCGCCGGAGCCATCGCCTCCCGGCCGCCGCCGCCGTCGTCGAGCTCGCCCTGAAGCCCGGGCCCTCGCGCACGCCGGTTCGCCCCGCAGCCTCGCGCGCTGACCACTCCCGCCGGCCGTAGAGCCGTCACGATGCTGCCGCCCGCGCCCTCCCGCCTCAGGCTGCTGCTGCTGCTGCTCTTGTGTCCGGCGCACGTCGGTGGACTGTGGTGGTGAGTCCCGCGTCCAGCTGTCCCGGCGCGGCTCTGGACGCTCTAGGGTGGGGACCTCGAGACCGGTGGCGAGTTCTGCACCGCGCTCCCGCTGCCTCCGGACTCTACCTGCTCGCAGAGCCCAGCCGCAGGGCAGCGGTGTGGGGGGCCCGGGGTGGAGGCGCGTGCGGCTCTCCTCCCGACCTCCGCCCGGGGCACTCCTGAACTGCTGCTTAACCCCCCCGCACGGCACATTCTATTGTTTCCTCCCCCGGTATAGTTCCCCCCAAAAAGTTAGGTGTTCAATCCAGGTTACCAAGGTATTGGCGTGTGGGTAGGGAAGAGCTACCTGGGAGACAGATATCAGAAGAAAAGAATGTGTGAGGAGGGCCCTGGATTTAGGGTAGGGGTCTGGATTTGGGGAAAAGAGAGGAACAAGTTGGGGAGCCACAAGACAGAGAGGGTCAAACAGCTGTCCCTTCCCAGCCCCACTTTGCCTAGCAACCCACCGGCTTCTCTTCGGGCTTCTTCAGAGTGGGCTGTAGTGGCGAGAAAGGGAATGTAAAGGGGAAACTGAGTCGGGACCCTGGCTTCTCCACCTCCTCCTCCTGGAACAAGGAAGAGGAGGAAAAGCAGGAAGGGGACCCAGGGGCAAGGCCCTTCCAGACGTGAGGGTCATGAATGAAAAAAATGTGCAGCGGGTGAGCTCTGGGAACCGGGGAGAGTCCTGGTGAAAGGGAGAGGGACTGGCCAGCCAAGGGATAGGGGCGTCTTCCCAGACCTGGCCTTTGGACCTGGCCCTAGCTAGGCAGCGAAGGTTGCGGGAGCTCTAGTCTTGGCGGGTGGGGCAGGGGCAGGGGCAGGGCAGGGTAGGTGGGTGCCCGGCCGGAACAGCCTGGAGATCCAGATCCTGAAGACTTTTTTCCCTCCGCAGTCTCCAGAGCCGCAAACACTCGCCTGGAATAGCTCAGTGTTTAGAGAGGAGGGACTTGGACAATAGCGCTGACGGATCAGCCAATCCTAAGAAGAAAGGGTCTTGTCTATTTGCATATCGCCACATGATTGGCTGGATTCTTATCCTCCACTCCTCCCCCACTGCCGGGATTTGGAAGAGACAGATCCCTCTGTTCTGGAGAGATAGGGAGTAGGATGCCCTCACAGGGAGCGGCGGGCCACGATCCCTCCCTCCTCCGTGATGCGGAGAGACGTCTCTCACCGGTGTCAGTGAGGGGGCAAATCGAGGACGACCCAGGTCCCAGCTAGGGAACATACACCCTTGATCCTTGCTTAGTATCATGCGGTAGTAGCAGCTTTGAAATAGACAGACATGAGATTTAACCATTATGTCTGTGACCTTGGGCAAGTCACTTCCTCTCCTTGACTCCCAGTCTCAGTTGCAAAGTAGAGGTGACAGCCTCTCTACCTGGCAGGTTTGCTGGGAAGTTGAGGTGGGAAGATCTACAAAATGATCTGACGTTAGGAGGTACTCAGTAGATGTAGTGCCTTCTTCATAACCCAGCTTCCCGTGGCTAGGGGTCCCTAGGAGTGAAAAGGGCTATTCATTTAAATTTAAAATTCCATTCCAAGCAAAGCTTTGTAAAGAGATCTCTCTCCTGCCACCCCCATACACACCTTTCCTAATTTTGCCCTTTTTCAAGGTGTGGGGACAAGGCCGCTCGCTCCCCGATGGCTATTGTATTTCCTTCCCTCCCTCCTCATCTGTCTAAATTGTTATTCTTACAGTTAAAATACCACTTCCTCCATGAAGCTGTCACTTTGTCCTGCCTACAGTTGCCTTCTCTGTGCTGCCACTGTACCTCATACATTGGACAGCTGTGCTAGTGACTTCGTTGTACTGACAACCATTTCCTTTTGAGTCTCTCTGTTCCCTGCTCCTGGAGGGCAGAGCCTTTGTCTTTAGGACCCTCTGGGCCCAGGACAGCATAGGTGCTGGAGATAGGTTTGTGGAGTGTTGTTGAACTGGTTGACTCCCCTTTCTGGGATTTGTATCTGTGGGGGTTCCTTTGTTCAGGAGGGACTGCTGGGTGGGAGCCAAGCCAAGGAAGAGAGGTCTGGTCCCTTGGAGATTGACCCTGAAGCTGGGAAACAGGCAGTGGGGGAGGAGGGGAGGAGGGCAGGTGTGGGAGAACACAGAGGCCTTCATGGCCACAGCTGCAGGGAGAGCAGGGTGAAGAGTGAGAGGCCCCGGTGATAAGGTGTCCAGTGGCTGCCTCACTCAGATGTGTCTCAGACAGAATGTGCCTTTCCTGCCTGCCTGGGCTCCCTCACTCTCCTCTATTTCTGACACTTCATCTCTTTGGTCTGAGCCCAGACTCCCTTTCCCAGAATCTTTTACTCTACTTACATTCCTGTCCCCACGCCACCCCACCATTGCCCTCCAAGGTCAGGTTTAGGCTGGTGGGCTGGACCAAGCATTCCTGTTGGCCTGAGCCTCCTGCCACTCTCCCCATACCCCCCAATATCTCTTCAGCTGGGAGCTTTTGGGCCAGGGGCTTCCACACTGTTCCTTCATGTCTAGCACCTGCTTGCTGGCCCACTTCTCTCTGCTTCTCAGGGAATCCTGGCCAGGTCAGAGCTCCAGCCATGGCCAGGAAAACACCTGGACCTGCAGCAGCCTACTGTACTCCACTGTGACATTCTAGCAGCAGCCAGGCTGGAAGCAGAGAGGACTCCAGGACCTCTGAGTGACTCAACTGTCCTGGTCAGGAAAGGGGGATTCTGGAGTTGGCTCTAGGACCTGGCTTCAAGTTCTTGAGAAGTTTCCCTTCCACCATCTTTCACACTCCCCTGCCTTCCCACAATGCAATGCATGCTTTCTCAACTCTGCCTCCAGCCTCTCCGTCTGTCTCTTTTCCATCTGTAACCATATCTTTGTGAATCGCAGAATCACAGATTCTAGGACATTGGCCAGGCTCTCTTGAGGTCATGTTGTCTAGCCTACGGCCTCCCAGCCAGCCAGCCTATGCTCTGGTCCTGCCGGACCCTGTCTTGAGAGTGAGGCAGAAGGGAGAGACCATGGCTTCCTGGTCACCAGCTCCCCCGCTCCCCCAACTCTGCTCCCTGCTCTTCTCTTGCCCGCTGCCCCCAGGAAGTTCTTTACGACGTCTGATCCATCTTTATTTATACTTTCAATCAGTGGCTGTAGAAAATAGCTCACTTTCATAGAATAGCCAGATCAATTTCCCTTCTTCTCTCTTCCTCTTTCTTCTTTCTGTTTTATATTTTTTATGAAAGAAACTAGCCCTCCCCTTGTTCCACTAGGGAAAACACCACCCAGTCTCACTCCCTTCCCCCATGCATCTTGCCTTTCACCCTCCTCCCCCTTCACTTATGGAAAGGAAACAAGAGCCAGAGGCCTAGGACAGCCTCATCTCTGGCTCCACGGGGAGGCAGGGAAAGGTCCCAGGCTTCTTCATGACACCCAGGTTTTCCAGCTACCTCTCCCACCCCAGGCTGGGCCTGGCCACCCTTTCCTCCTGTCTTCATTGGGGGCCCCTGACTCTTCATGGGCAGTCCTGTTGCTGGCCCCCACCAAGCCTAGGGTGGGGTGGGGTGGCCATCTATTCCCCCCTCCAGTCCTCCCGCCTTGGCAGCTTCCCCCAGAGGGAGACAATGGGGCTGTGAGCAGAAAAGGGCAGGGGCAAAAGGAGGCTGTCCTGATCCGAGCCAGAGCATGCCCTGAGCCCACCAGAGTCCTGGCACTGTGACATTTCCTGGGGGGTACAGCACCCTCCTTCTTCCTTCATTCTCATCGGAAGCCAGGAGTTGGTGGGGGGAAGTCAGTGGGAGGCTTGATCACCAGGCCCAGCGAGGGGGATTCCAGAGTGTGCACTTTGATGGAGAAACGCAGCTGTGGAGGGGAGGAGATGAGGGCAGGGTGGGCGGTCAGGCCACGGGCAGGCTGGCAGCAGGGCGCCGCCAGCCAGAGCAGGAGGCACTCAGGACCACAGGCGCCTGTCCTCTGAGGACGGGTAGGGAGCGCCCCCTAGCCTGAGCCCTCCTTCCTGCCTGGGCAGGGTGCCACCTGGGGCTTCCCCAGAACTGCCTGAGAAGGAGCTGAGCCAAAGGTCTCTGAGAGGCCTCTCCCCCCTCCATCTTGGCCTCTTTGGCTAGTTCCTCCAGCTCTGAGCCCTGTGTTTAATTCAGAAGTTAGATCTAGAAAGGACTTAGAGATCACCTGGTCTCATATTCTCACCTACTTAGTGAGGGCAGCAAGGTCTGGGACAGGAGGTGACTTGCCCAAGGCCACCCAGAATGTTGGAAGCTGAGATCCAAGGCTGACTCTGCACTCATCCCTATGTGCAGTGTGGGTGGGGGATCAGAAAAGGGGTATGGGGCCTTCCACAGGTCCCTCCTGCTCTCCCGTTCCATCCTAGGTGGGTGCCCGCACCCCAATGTGGGAGAGCAGAGGGCTAAGGACAGATTCTGCTCAAGGCGTCCAGTGGAGGCCCATCCACCCATTCCTTTGCTCTCCCAGCCCTGGCCAGTAGGAAGGCCCTGTGCACAGTGATGTCTGTCCAAGAGGGGAAGCCCCTGCCTCTCCCAAGAGTGATGAGGAGGGAAGTGTAAGGAAGGACAGACAGAACCAAGTTGGGCCAGGAGAGGGGAGGGGCAGTATGGGGGTGGCTGGTGGGCAGTGGGGAGGCAGGGGTTAATGGGGCTGGGGCATCACTGGCTTTGATGTGGTGGTTGGGGTGGGGGTAGGGACTGGGGGAGGGGGAGCAGTAATTACCGAGTTAGACAGAGCAGGACAGGACAGGCGGGCGGGCACAGGCCCGGGCCCAGCCGCCTCAGCAGCCGTCAGGCAACATTTTTCTGCCCCTTCTCCACCACCCACCTCCCCCACCCCCGTGCAACCCCCACCCACAGCCCCAGGGCTCAGGGCTCCCTCTGCTGGCTCCTGGGAGGTGGGGTCAATCTAGGGACTTTGGGAGTGGGGGTGGGGAAATAGAGGGAGGACAGCTATGAGACCATTCAGAGAAGGCTGAGTGTCCAAAGGGCCTCTGACCCCTTCAGCCTCAATAATCCACCAGGAGTGCCTGCTGGGAAAGGGGGGAGGGTCCTCTGGGTGCAGCTGGTCTACGAGCAAGGCCAGATGGAGGAGAAGGGAGAGTTGGAGCAAAGGGTGTTCTCAGCAATCCACCAATGCTGCCTGCACCTGTTTGTCCTGCACTGTGCAGGCCTAAGAGATGTGTAAAAGTGTGAGCAGGAAGACAAAAAATAGTTGTCGAAGGCCACCCTCTGGACAGGTCCTTTACATATGTAACCTGGAAGTAGGCAGGTATTATTTCCATTTTACAGTTGAGAAAACTGAGGCTCAGGAAGTTAAGTCTCATAATCCATCCAATAAATGCTAAGTGCCAATTCCACATGCTAGGGACTCATTCAGATCACAGAACAAGCAAACGGCAGAGTCCAGATCCAAGCCCAAGTCTGGTGGATCCCAAAAGCCCTGAGTGTACTCTAATGACATCATGCCCACTTGTGAGATTTTTGCTTTAATGAATTTTCTACCTAATTGGAGAGAGAAGACCAGCGAATGTGAGAAGTTAATTATGCCACTGGCAGGATAACAAGCACCTGCCAAATGGTGACACCTGGAGTGATGGGGGTCTTGGTACAGGCTGGGGCCCCGGGGAGGCTCCTTAGGGCAAGTGGGATCAGAGGTGAGTTTGGAGAGATGCTGGCTAAGATTTGATGACTTAGGGGTGCAGAGGGGGTGGCTCTGAGTCCAGAAACTTCGTGGTGCGATCTGGGATAGATTCAGCTAGGCATCCCTGCTAGGAGTAAGGGGCTACATGAGGGATGGTGTGGGAGGGAGGCCACCTGTGTTTTCCCTCCAGCACTGTTTGGTGTTTTAAACAATCACCTAACTTTTCTTACAGTGGAGATCCTTCCACCAAGTGGCCAGCCTCTGTCACCTCTCTTTTCATATTTGTTCATCTGCATAACAAGGGTGAGGTGGGTGGGGCTGGACTGGATGATCTCTGGCATTTTCTGTGGCCCTCAGAATCCAGAGGCAGAAAGGTAAGGTTAGGCCAGCGCCCTGAGGCCTCCAGGGCTTAGGTCTGCAGATGCTGCCAGTAGGAACTAGCTGGCCCCGATGCCACTGATCCTATCAGCCATGGTCCTTGGGAGGGAGATCTTGGCGTAGGCCAAGCCAGTTAGGATGACCAACCCTAGGCTTGTCCCTTCTGGTCTGCACGCTAATTTCTCTCAGGTCTGGCCTCAGCTTTTCTGTGCCCAGGAATGGCTGCTGATTAGGTCCTACATACTGTGCATTCCCTACCACCGCTGTGCTCCAGGCTCCAAAGGGGCACATCTTCTTCAGGCTGATCCCAGGCCAATGCAGACCCAGAAGTGCAAAAATGCTGAGTTCATTCTCTAAGGAAGCAAAAAGAAAGGAGGGAAGGGATATAAAAGGAGAGGGGAGGTAGAGGAGTTATTTCTTGACGTGGAGTCAAATGTTAAAGTTAGAGGGGCTATGTGAGCCTCTCATGCTAACTCTTTATTTTTCTGAAGCCCAGGAAGGGAACTGACTTGTCCAGAGTGGCTCAGGTCACACAGAGCTGACGGAAACCAGGGTTCGGAAGCAAGGTTTGGTGTTTTGCCCAGTGCCCCCTGCCATGCCCCTTCTGGAGTTTCATTTCCTATGTATTTAGGATGGGAGCGAGGACAGGAGGGCAGGGAATGAGCTGGTCCCTTGGGATTCTAGCTGCTACTACTGCCCATCCTCCTCCTGGTCAGTTCGTAAACAAGTCTAGTTCCCAGGCAGCCAGCCAGCCTGGGGAGCCAGGCCCAGACCAGAAACTGGCTCTGGGCAGCCCCTCAACCCCAGCCCCACCTCCTGACAGGCCCTGCTCTTCCTACCCCTCATGATTCCTTCCCTATCTCTAGCCCCTGGGAAGCAGACTAGGTCAGGAGATTTTCAGAGGTCAGGAGATTTTCGCCTTTCTGCCTTGCTTGTCCCTACTCCCTCCTGCTTTCCTAGGAGAAGAGGAGGAGGGAGAGGAGAGGGATGGGGCAGAGTAACCTTGGGAAGATAAGGCCAGTCAACCTTGGGAAAGTAGGGAGTTAGCAGAGGGCAGGTGTGAGGAGGGGGACTGAGGAACTTAGCAGCGGGGGCAATAGGGATGGGGAGAATGAGTTTGCAGAGCCCCAGACTCCCAGGTGGAGTCCTAGACATACAAGTCCTAGGGAGGAGCTGGACAACTGCAGAGAGGACTTATTCTCTGCTTCCAAATCCCAATGGGGGAAAAAAATGTCTGAGGAAATGAATTAGGAGTCATGAAATAACATGTGGACAAGGGCTTGGGCTCAAGTGAGGACCTTCTCCCCAGATGGCTCATTCATTCATTCAAAAACATATATTAAATGGTGTTCATTGTAGTTTAATATACTACATATACTAATATTATTCATAGATAACATAGAATTCATAATAGGCAAATTTTAATAATAAGAATTGGGGGGAAATATGAATTAAGAACCTAAAAATCTGCCAGGGGAGACAAAGGAAAATAAGACAGACTTTACTCTCAAGGAGCTCATAGTCTTGTCTACTGATGCTGTACAACCATGCTGCGAGCTGCCTCAAATCCTTTTTATAATTAGTTGGGATAGATAGACAGACAGATCGGAGAGACTGATCAACTCTCAAAGTCACGGGGCCATTGGGAACCTACCCCAGCCCACTCTCCGCTGCTCCCTCCCTTGTTACTTCTCTAGGTTGGGAAAGGGTGGGGGCTGGTGCTGAGCAGGTCCTAAGTACGTGGAAGGAAGATCTGGGCTGTAAGTCTCTCCCCTGAGGAGAGATATCTGGTTCCTGAACTACTTGGGTAGGGATGATGACAGCAACCTGATCATGTGTGTGTGCGTGTGTGTGTGTGTGTGCAGGGGGGGATAGTAGTAGACCTTAAAGGACTGAGCTTACACATCTTTCTGCAACCACCTCTTTAAACATCTCACTCCTCAGTGTTGAGAGTTCTACCTTAAGACCTAAATTCCTCTTGCTGCTGTTTAAGACCATTACATCTCATTGTTGTGGGGCCAGAACATGCCTGGGCAGCCTGTGCTTGTGGAGCAAATGGGGACAGTGTGGCGGATATGCACTAAAACAAAACCAAAAAGTAGGCCACCTTAACCTTTGGCACTATTTACTACCATCATTCTTCTCTACAATTTCTATCTCCTGGTGCCTCCCCTCCCCACCCAGGGTCGTTTTTCTGCCCTCTGTAGAAGGGTTTTTGGGTGGTCTTAAATTACTCCTGGTTCCCAAGTACTCTGCTCACTTATTCTCTAAGACAGGGATCCCAGTTAAGTGTTCAAATGGAAGCAATGTGATTAAAGCAATTCCCCCCAGGTATGAATCGGTACTTGGCGTAACCTTCAGGGGTGTGGTATATGGCAGCTCTCTCCTCAGGCCAGTGAAGGCCAGGAGTGGAGGAATTCCTGAAAGTGTGTGGAACTTCCCATGAGGTCATCACCCACTAAGCCAAACACTGTCCCCCTTCCCCAGTCAGTTATGTCACCCCAGTGCGCAGGGCTTGGCTCCCTGCCATCCTGCTCTGGGAACCCCACAGACCCTGGAACAGGAGAAGGGTCAGTGTCACCTACTTCCCAATAATGCTTCAGAGACTTGGTCCCCAGCTCCTTCTGCTCCCCGGTTAAGGGAAGCAGAGGATGTTAGGGTGGGAGAGCCCACCTTAGAGATCAAAGCCCAGTCCTCCCATTTTATAGGAGAAACTCAGGCTAGAAGGGAAAAGGAAAGTGTGTGACTTTCCTCAGAAGAACTTTCCTCATGGAACATTCCCCAGCCATGCTAATATCTCATGGCATTCTATCTCCCTGGCATTGGCCCTGCCTTTCATCAGATCTGTTCAGCTGATATATATCCAGTTTGTGGTCCACTAGGACCAGATCCTTCCCTGACACTGCCTACTTGTCTTTGGTGTCTCCTTATGACA